TATTATTATTATTATTATTAGCGCTGTAAGACGCGCATTTCTCCCCGCCGCGGAGAGATCTTCGGCGAGTCGAGGTTTTGCCGGGGGGTCTTGCAGTCATAGACCCCTTGCTGACTTCTCGTAGATTTGCATCGTTCAAGGCCTCAGACTTTCCCTGGGCGAAGAAACACTCATGCCGTAGCGTTCCTGGCCAGTTAAAGAAAAGCCCATCCAATTCAAAATGCAAAGCAAATGCAAATGAACGACAGATTAAATTACGAAGGAACTCTTCGAAGGAAATGTTTCAAAACTCAAGTTCATCTGAAGTGATGTTTCTACAATTACGAAGATATTTGAATATAAAAACAACTTCTGACAGGTCAACCTTTTTCGTGTGACATTTTAACGAAAGCATCCGAAGGGTGTGTCGATCCGACATCCAAAGTCGGAGAGCTGATTTGAATAACAAGCAATCGTTAAAGTTAATATTCATGCACCAACTTGTCCTGCACGTGGAAGGAGCTTACGAACTACGAGAAATTCAGCGTCCTTTGCAGCTAATTTGGGACCAAGAAACACTTCATCTCAGAGTTATTAGCTTGGATATTATCAGTTCTGTCATGGACTCCGTTTGTTTCTTCGAAGCTGCTGAATCGAGCGGTTTAACTCGATGTCAAGGATTAATGCATGCCATAAGTCGCACATTCTCTCAAGGTAAATAACCGAACGAATTGATAGACCGTCAGAAATACAGTTTTTCTGTTCTAGTTTGTTTAATTGTGGCCCTTGAGAATCAAATTACAGAGTTAGATTTAAAAGGAGTAGTGCGCTAAACGTTGTGCGCTAAAAGACAATCTTCGATGGCAGCCGCCAAGACAGTTGCTATTGAACCTCGTCACTTTAAAACAATATCGAGGAATTCGCACTTATTATCCGTGCATCGATCGCTTATTTCTAAATTTCGTTCTTTTCTTTTTTCACTTTTTTTCTTTAATATACGCAGCTGTTTTATCGTATGGAGTCTTCGAAATAAGTTAGTCGTAAATCCGCATGTTTTATCGCCACTCCTTACCCTCCCCCCCAAAAAAAATAAGGGGGGAGGGAAAGTGGTCGAAATAGGACATAAGACCCCCTTTTTCTAGATGCCAGACGTTTTTTTTTCACACCTCTATGCAGAGGCCATGGATGATAGAACTTCTAGTTCTCTCGAATGTAGTGTCTCTCACCGAATTCTGGGCGGAAATGTCCTGGGTTGATATGTGTTGTGTTCTTAGGCGTGTCTTTACTCTCACAATTACTCTCTCCGCCTAAGAGTACAATTGGGTACCGTCGAATTGCCATGGAAACATGACAGGGGTATGCAGCCATGGACTACCATCCCACGTAAGGGGGAAAGGGGGTAGCGATATGCCTCCTATACAGGAGGCATAACGACACTCCTGAGACTGGCACTAGTGCCAGACTAGTCTTTTTTTCACTCTTTCGAAGATCGTGAATATTACGGTTCTCTACTGTAACTGAGAGGCAATGTTTATGCTTAGGTTATCAACATGTTTAAGAAGACTCGCTTCAACCAGATTATCAATATCCAATTTGGGATTATGCAGTTTCTGACAGGGTTTTTTTTCCTCTCGTAATAAATTGATTCGTATCTTTACTTGATTACTTAATTATTTGATGTACGATCGCGGCCCCATGTTAAATCTCTCTTTTTCTCTCTTAGGCATTAACCCTGATGAGATGGAAAAATCTATAAATCAAGAACTACAGGGGAGGAAAGAAAAAAAGGATGACATTCTGAAAGGTTTGTTACGAAAACTGTAATATAGGAACGCAACTGTGCTTGTAAATCTCGTCAGCTTTTTACTCGTTCGCTTGGATTTCGCGAGCATTTGCAATTCAGAAACAGCCAAAGTAAAAAATGAAGGGGACTAAGAAGAAGAAAATTAACCCTTTTTTTCCAAACTCTCAATTCTTCGATGTTCAGATAAAGATGACTAATCTTCGCAGAAATGACATTCGTTTGATCAAGGTAACTTGTAATTTTTTCATGGCTCTTTTGCTTCAATGAAATAGTAGAAATACTTTTTGACTCATCATATGTTGGAATCAAAGAAATAATCAGTGATCGTTGTAATATTTTTTCTATTTTATGGTTGTCGTTGGTAACACAATAGTGTCCAAAAATATACTTGACATATAAAGTTGCCATAGCAACGGTAAATTTTCCGATTTCAATAGCAATTGTCAATGATCAAAATGAGCTTGGGTGTTTTTATGAATGTGTAAAAGAAAAAAATTTTATGGCACAGCTCTTTGGATGCCTTGACTGGCGTGTGTCTTGTCCTATCCAAGAGACTCTTCTGAAGTCTAAGAAATTCGTGATCGAATATGATTCCTCACCAATGTTCGAATCAAATCAAACTAATCCTGATGTTTATGATAAAAAAATTAGAAAATTAAAATGTTGGTTATTAAAAACTCTCAGTGCCTCAGATGCATTTCACTAATTTTTTTTTCATTCCTTTTTTGAGAGATAGAACCACCTTGACATTGAATAGTGAGAGGTTAAAACTAAACGAGTATGCTACAACTATCGATGGTTCTCAAATTGTTTCTAGCTTATCATTTTCAGATTTCTTTTTCTATACTTCCTTTTATGTATATTTATCTTAGATAAGTGTAATGATCTTCCACTCTTTTTCAAAATTTTAAAAAGTTTCTATTCAAGTCAGTTGAAAGAATGGAGTTCATAACTTTCAAATATTTTAGCTACTGAGACAGAAACCAGAAACGTTTTTTTTTTAATTTTGATAAGGTTGTTGGTCGTAAACACTTGATTTTAGCTTTCACAAACTTTCGTTTCCAATTAAAAAAATCTCTTTCAAATTTCTTAAAATTATCAGATTTAGAGATTTAGAGATTGTTTAGAGATTTCGAAATGATTCCGAAAATTGGCCAGAAATAAAATGTATATATGTATGTATGTCTATACATACATATATATTTAACAATTGGTTCATATGTCTGCGTGCGTTCATCGAGATATGAAGCACGCGGGAAGTTTGGAGAGCACGAAAGATGCGTAAGAGTTGCTCGAGGCGTAGCCGAGAGCAACTCTAGCTTCTTGAGTGCTCTCCAAACTTCCCAAGCGCTTCATATCTCGATGAACGCACAGCTGACGTATGAACCAATTGTTTTATAACATTTTCAACCCGAAGGAAAATTTTTTTCTCGAGGGATTTGTTTGCTGACGTCATAAGCGGACACAATAGGAATATCAAGCACGCTCGCGCAATTGAATTTTATGAGACAAATTTACTAGCTATGTTGTAAATATATAAATGCTAACGTCGTGTGCTCATGCAAATTATTTCAAATTTTCCTCTTTTTCCTTTCTGCTTTTTTCCTATGACAACGTTGCTGCAACCAGGTGTACATTAAATTGTTCAAAATTAGAACTTTTAACGCCTTGAAATCTTCTTATTCAATTTGCTTACATTTAAGGCTTAAGATGAAACTTAACGAGCACGTTCCCCGAAAAAAATTTTAAACAAAATCTGGTTTTGAATGAGATTTAAAAAATCAGCAAATGATTAAAAGACATTTACAGAGAATAGATTGCATGACAGAAGGAATAGTTTACCTGATTTCATATCGAGGATTTTTCAAAAGATTTAGATTTGCCGCCAAGAAGTCTCAACTAAAGCCTTTTATCAAGCACATTTCGTCGGAGCTATTTACCATAAGAATTAACACAAATTCTGTCTCTGAGATACCTCGCATCTTTCCAGTTTCAAAAAACTTTGCAGGAGGATTTAGCCTTTTATTAAGCAAATTTCGTCGGAGCTATTTACCAAAAGAATTAACACAAATTCTGTCCCTGAGATACCTCGCATCTTTCCAGTTTCAAAAAACTTTGCAGGAGGATTAAGCCTTTTATTAAGCAAATTTCGTCGGAGCTATTTACCAAAAGAATTAACACAAATTCTGTCCCTGAGATACCTCGCATCTTTCCAGTTTCAAATAACTTAGCAGGAGGATATTGAATTATTTAAATTTCGCTGATTTTCAAGATCAACATTTCCCGCCAAAGAAGCCGCGGCTCAACTCCTTAAGAAACATTTGTTATTAAAAAATACGTGCCAAATAGTTGTTTTTAAAATACGTGTTATCACTAAAGTAGTTTGCAGCTTTTTATTTTCAAAAAAAATTGAAGAAGGATCCTATTTTGAATTGTTTGTAAAATTTCCCTTTTTTTTTCCAAGATTGGAATTTTTCCGCCAAAACACTGCAA